CTGGAGTGGTCAGGCAGGGATTGTCTCACCAGCTCCAGAGTTCCCCCGTGGCCCCTCCCGCCTTGATTTACCTTTTCTTCCTTGTAACTGCTGGGTAGCGGCCCCTAGCCACCTCTCTGCAGGGCCGCATGAGCTTAATTCATTGAAAAACTTTGAGATCATTTTTAAGTTAATAAACATTACTTTTTAGAGCAGTTTTGGATCCACAGCAAAATTACATGGAAAACACAGAAAATTCCCATAAATCCCCTCACACATTCACACACACACACATACACACACACACACACACACACACACACACACACACAAAACTTTCCCCACTATCAACATCCTGCACCAGAGTGGTGCATTTGTTACAACTAATGAATCTACACGGACACATCCTTAAAGTCCATAGTTTACCTGAAGGTTGACTTTTGGTGTTGGACATTCCACATTTGCTAAACGTAGAATGACATGCATCTGCCGCTGGAGTATCATATGTATTAGTACGTAGTTTCACGGCCCTAAAAACCCTCTGTGCTTCATTTATTCATCTCTGTTTCCCCCCAGCTCCTAGCAACCATCTTTTTGCTGTCACCATAATTTTGCCTTTTCCAGAATGTCATATAATTGGAACCATAAGGTATGTAGTCTTTTCAGATTGACTTCTTTCACTGAATGATAAGCATTTAAGTTTCTTCCATGTCTTTTTATGGCTTGATATCTCATTTCTTTTCAGCACTGAATTACATTCCATTGCCAGAATGTATCATAGTTTATTTATCCATTCCCCCACTGAAGGCCATCTTGATTGCTTCCAGGTTTTGGCAATCATCAATAAACCTTCTCTAAATGAACATGTGCATGTTTTTGTATGGACATAACATTTAAAATCTTATGGGTAAATACCAATGAGTGCAATTACTGGACTGTATGATACGAGCAAGTTTAGTTTTGTAAAAACCTGCCAAACTGTCTTCCCAAGTGGCAGTACCATTTTACCTTCCCACAGTAACAAGTGAGAGTTTCTGTTGTTCCACATTCGTGTCAGCACTTGGAGTTGGTGTTCTGGATTTTGGCCATTCTAATAGGTGTGTAGTGGTCTCTCATTGTCTGCAGTTCCCTAATGACATATGATGTTGCACATCTTTTCACATGCTCACTTGCCATCTGAATATCTTCTCTGGTGATGTGTCTGTTCCGTTTTTTTCCTTCCCATTTTAAAAATTGGGCTGTTAATTTTGTTATTATTTAGTTTTAAGAGTTCTTTGTATATTTTAGATAATGGTCTTTTATCAGATGTGACATTTGCACATATTTTCTTCCAGTATTATCTTCTCATTCTTTTGCCATTGTCCTTCAGAAAAAAGTTTTAAATTTTTATGAAGTCTAGCTTATCAATGATTTCCCTCATAGATCATGTGTTTGGTGTTATGTCTAAAAAGTTATAATCATATGTGAGGTCATCTAAGTTTTCTCCTGTGTTACCTACTAGGAGTTATATAGTTTTACATTTAGGCTTATGAATAATTTTGAGTTACTTTTTATGAAGGGCCATAAGCTCTGTGTCTAGATTCATTTTTTTTTGCATGTGGATGTCCAGTTGTTGCAGCACAATTCTGGGCTTTCTGTCTGTTCTGTTGATCTATGTGTCGGTTCTTTCATCAACACCACACTGTCTTCATGACTATAACTTAATACTAGGTCTTGCAGTCAGGTGGTATCAGGCTTCTGATTTTGTTCTTCTTCAATATGAGTTGGCTATTCTGGGTTTTTTTGTTTGTTTGTTTCTCTATATAAACTTTAGAACTATTTTAACAATACCTACAAATAACTTGCAGGAATTTTGATTGGGATTGTTTTGAATCTATAGACCAAGTTGGCAGAATCCAAATAAATAGATTATTCTCCATTTATTGAGTTCTTTGCAATCTTTCATCAGTTTTGTTATTTTTCTCATATAAATATTATACACATTTTGTAAGATTTATACCTAAGTATTTTATTTTGGGCAGAGCTAATGTAAATGATAATGTATTTTTAATTTCAAGTTCCAATTGTTCTTTGCTGGCCCATAAGAAAGCAATTGACTTTTGGATACTAACCTTATATTGTGAAATCTTGCTATAATTGCTTTGTAGATCTAGGACAGTTTTTTTTTGTTTTTTTTGTTTTTTTTTGGTCAATTGTTTTAGATTTTCTATAGACAGTTATTTGTGAACAAAAACAGTTTTATTTCTTTTTTTCCAATCTGTATACCTTTAATTTCCCTTTTTTGGTCTCATTGCATTAACTAGGACCTCGGTATGATATTGAAAAGCAGTGGTGAGAGAGGACATCCTTACCTTGTTCCTGATCTTAGCAGGAAAGCTTCAAGCTTAATGTAGGAAAGCTTGATAATATTGAGTGTTTCTGTTTATGAGCATGGAATATCCTCCATTTATTTAGTTCTTTGATATCATTCATCAGAGTTTTATTGTTTTCCTCATTTAGATCTTGCACCTATTTTGTTAGATTTACACCTAGGTATTTCACTTTTGGGAATGCAAATCCTACATGAAGTAGGCTGTTAGCTGTAGGTTTTTTGGTAGTTGTTCTCTATCAAGTTAAGGAATTTCCCCTCTATTCCTAGTTATGAGAGTTTTTATTATGAATGACTGTTGGATTTTGTCAAATGCTTTTTCTGCATCTATTGATATAATCGTGTGATTTTTCTTCTTTAGCCTGTTGATGTGATGGATTACATTAGCAGATTTTTTTTTTTTGTCAGAGTCTCATTCTGTCTCCCAGGCTGGAGTGCAGTGGCACACTCACAGTCACTGCAGCCTCAACCTGCTGGGCTCAGGTGATCCTTATGCGTCAGCCTTCCAAGTAGCTGGAACTACAGGCATGTACCACCATGCCCAGCTAATTTTTAAAAAATGATTTATTGTACAGACAAGGTCTCACCATGTTACTCAGGCTGATCTCAAACCCCTGAGCTCAGGCAATCCTCTTGCCTCTGCCTCCCAAAGTACTGGGATTACAGGCGTGAGCCACTGTGCCCGGCTTCATTAGCTGATTTTTGAATGTTGAACCAGTCTTGCATACCTGGGATAAACCCCACTTGGTTGTGGTGTGTAATTCTTTTTATAAATTGTTGGATTCAATTTGTTGATATTTTGTTGAGGATTTTTGCATCTATATTTATGAGAGATATTGGTCTGTATTTTTCTTGTAATGATTCATCTGGTTTTGGTATTAGAGTGATACTGATGAATGAATTGGGAAGGATTCCCATGGCTTCTATCTTCTGGAAAAGACTATAGAGAAGTGGTATAATTTCTTCCTTAAAAGTTTAGTAGGATTCACCAAGGAACACATCTGGGCTGTGTGCTTAATTCTTGATAAATGAATGCTGTGACTGTGGTTTTATATGGAAATTTTATTACGCCTTGGGACCTATTAGAGTAAAGCTATAGCCTTGTACATAGAAGAGTGGCTTCACCTGCTGGGGGAAGTCATTCTCCATGTAAAGTGGATAGTTTTAACTCTCTGTTGAGATCAAAGATCATATTTCTCTGGGCGCTTCCTTCAATATCTCTTAGGCACCCACCAGAGTGAGCCTGAGAACCTAGTCTGCATCATGTGATCTCCTTTCTGACCCTATGGCACATTTAATTGAACTAGAGATGAACAAATGACATAAATTGGACCAATCAGATTCTTTCTTCAGGGATTTGGGATTTAGGACTAAAGGGCAGCTACCCAGTTTCCGCATAAAGTTGGAATTGAAGTTCTCTAGACATAGGAGCTAAGGACTAATAGTGTTGGAGTTGTTACAAGGTGTAAAAGTCCTGTCTGCTGGGAGAGGATGATGTGCAAGACTGGGAACAAGTGGAGACAGAGTAGGGCTGAGGGACTGTGGGATGGAGACCCTCAAAAGACTCTAGCTGGGGTCCAGGTGTATTAGGGACCAGGTACCCCAGATCTAAGGATGAGGTGGGCGGCATGCTCTTGGAGTTGGTTCCTGGAAAGAGTTGAAATGGCTTAGTCCATTCTCCAGGGAACACAGGCAGTGGGGACAGCAACCAGACAGGAAAAGACACTGTGTGTTTATCTTTTGCTATTTTTGTGAAACAAATGGACAGACATCAGCAAAGCAGGGAATGGTCTTGGGAGAGAGAGAGTCTGGGATACTCCATGTGGGGGTATCTCTGCCCTCTTTCTTGGAAGACCAGGCGTTGGCCTGTGTTGGGTTGGGGGCGTGTGGAACATGACGGTGGAACCGGAAGCAAGTCTCAAGTCAGGGTTGGAGCAACTGAGGATTTGCAACATGGATAACTGGGAGTGGGTTAGGACTGGCTCTAGCCTGCCCCTGCCTGCTCCACCACCCACCCAACACTTAGCCTCCACACCCTGTGCCTTCTGATGGTTGGAAGAAGGCATGGACCTAGTCCCTCAGCCACCAGAAAAAAATCAGGAATAGAATCCTTAGCTCTGAAGACACAAAAAGGCAGGAGACCTTGTTTAAATAAAATTTAATGAGATGTAAACCAAAGAGTTTTGTGTACAGAAGCATTTTGGTTAACTTAGAGCCATCATCTCATTAACAACTCTGGGGTGTGTGTGTGTGTGTGTGTGTGTGTGTGTGTGTGTGTGTGTGTGTCCTCCTTGTGGATGTGTCTGTGTGTGAACCCATCCAGGAATGTTTGTCTCATTAACAACTCTGGTGTGTGTGTGTGTGTGTGTGTGTGTGTGTGTGTGTGTGTGTGTGTCCGCCTTGTGGATGTGTCTGTGTGTGAACCCATCCAGGAATGTTTGGTCTTCATGGCCCCTCCCTGTGTACCTGTGCCTTCTGACAAGCCACAGTCTTGTCTTTATTCCCATGATTCACTCTTCTTGAAGAATTCCGATCGCCTTCGTCATCTTCCCTTTGCCAATCTCCCCAGAGCAACAGGGCCTTAAGTGTGAGTGAGGATGGGTGGTGGGTCCTGAGGTATCCTAGGCCGCAGCTGCCCCTTCGGGACAAGGCCTCAGCTTTCCGAGTCCAGGGGGTAGGACCAACTGGTTCTGGGACAGCCCCAGAAACGCAGGACTACAAACGCCCCGACCCCCAGCAGCAAGAGGGCGCCCAGGGCCCCAAAGAGGATTCCGAAGAACGCGCCAAGCTTCAGACTCAGGTGCTCACAGCGCTCGCCCCAGGGCGCGTAGATGGAGAAGGGCACACAGCTGCGGACCGAGAAAGAAGGCGGTCAAGGCGGGGAGGCGGGGACTCAGCCTGCCCGCCTCTCCTCTTCTGTTGGAGCCAGAGGAGGTCCTTAAGGACAAGCCCACCCACCCGCAGGAAGAGAGGCCAAGTCAGACCCGAGGCCTGGCCGAGGCGAGGGCACCGGGCCAAGGAGACCCGCGATGGGGATCGACCACAGGTGGTGAGCGCATGCGCAAACCCCGCCCCCGGTCCTGAGCCCCGCCCCGAGCGAGAGCTGGACCCCGCCCTCGGCTCCACGCGGCCCCTCCTTTGACCCGGTCTGGAACCGCAGTTGGGGCGAGGACTGATGGACGGTACTGAGGTGACCAGAGGCCTGGATGTCGCTGCAGACTTACTGCACTCCCCTCGGACTACTGCTAATGAACGGAGGAGCAAAAGGCGCCTCCCCAGACCGCGCTATCTTAGGAGGGGCAGGCCTGGCCCTAGACACAAGCAGTGGTTTCCTTTCTCACAAGGAGACAGTCGGGTGTCCACCTAGGAAGCCAAATCAGGTGGAAGAGGCTGACTCTGGAAGCCATACCTTGCTGCTTAACGTATTGGGTACCTTGGGGGCAGGTTCCTTGTCTCATCGAAGCTGCGGTTTTCTCATCTTCTAAACGGCCCTAATACTCACTTGTGGTTCCTTTGAGTTTCAGAGACAATAAAGCATCTGTGTTCTACACACAAGAGTAGACACTCTCAACTCTTCTTTTCCATTGTCCCTTTTCCTCTGGTCCCTGATCTCTCTCATTAGCCGTCCTGTTTCCTGGACCCCTTGTCCAGCTTGGATTCCCCCCAGCACTGTCTTCTACTTCCCGCCCCCTTCCCTACGCACCTGCAGTGGGGCCCATCAGGCAGGTGCTGGCACTGGCCACCATGGTCGCAGTAGCCCTCACTGCATGGGGACACGCAGGTGAAGCCACTCCGGGGGTTGTAGTCCAGGCGGTAGCCCTGGTAGCCGCTGCATTTGAAGTAATTCTGCAATGTGCTCACATTCACTGTCAGGGAAGACACAGATTAACATGGAAAGCAACTGATCAACACTCAGGTAATACCATTTCAATCAAGAATTCCATCTTTAGGTTGAATTCATACACAAATATGTATGTCCATGGAAATTCAGATCAGCGCGGTTGATGACAATAGCAGCAATGCTTAACAAGAGGATCTTGCTAGATTAGTTACTGTATATCCTTTCCAAGGAAACGAGTTTTCTGTGGACAATATTTTAGTAAAGAGCATATGTTTTGAAGTTAATCAGACCTGAGTTGAAACTCAAATTCTACTATTAACTAGTTGTATGATTTAGGGAAAATTTCTTAACTCCTTCAGCCTCAGTTTCCTAACAATAGCACCTTGCTGTGAGATTTAAATGAGATAATGTATGCAGAGTACTCAGTACAGTGTCTGACACACAGTAAGCACTCAATAAATGGTAACTATTATTGTCATATTATTTATTTTTATTTTTATTTTTGAGTTGGAGTCTCACTCTGTTGCCCACACTGGAGTGCAGTGGCACACTCACGGCCACCCCAGCATCGACATGCTGGGCTCTGGCGATCCTTCCACCTCAGCTTTCCAAGTAACTGGAACTACAGGTGTGTGCTACCACGCCCTGCTAATTTTTTATTTATTGTAGAGATGAGGTTTCACCAAGTTGCCTGGGCTCGAACCTGTGGGCTCAGGCAATCCACCTGCCTCAGTCTCCCAAATTGCTGGAATTACAGGCTGAGCCGCCAAGCCCGGCCTATCATATTATATCTAAAAGATATTATAAGACGATATTCAAACATATCATTATAAAATTAGTCAAATGGGAATATGTACACAATATATGATGTAATATGTTCATAACTGCTTAATAAGGAGGTTGCTAAACTTAGGTCTGATTTGATTCCTTAGTAAAAAATTGAGCTGGGCATGGTGGCTTACGCCTGTAATCCCAGCACTTTGAATGGTGGAGGCAAGAGGATAGCCTGAGCAACTTGGCGAGACATTGTCTCTACAATAAGTCAATAAATTAGCTGGGCATGGTGGTGCATGCCTATGGTTCTAGCTACTTGGAAGACTGAAGCGGAAGGATCACCTGAGCCCAGCAGGTCAAGGCTGTGGTGGCCATGAGCATGCCACTGCACTCCAGCCTAGGGGGCAGTGAAATTCTGACTTAAAAAATCGATATATGTGCCAGTTCTTAGGCATAAAAGGTTCAGAAGACTATGTATAAAATATTGTTGTTTCTGGAGATTGGGGTTACAGATATTTTTTCCTCTTCTTTTTGCTAATTGTGTTTCCTAAAGTCTCTATAACATATGATACTTGTATAACAAAAATTGTGGGCTACTGTGCAAAAGAGAACAGTGATGGGGGTTGGCCACAGGTAGGCATGCGCTGGGGGTCTTTGCTCCCTACTGTCTCCCATTCCCCCAGCCTGACTCCCCAACATACAGCCATTCTGAGGGATTTTACCCTGCTGCCACAGGAGGGAGGAGGCTTAACCTGGATTCTAGGAGAAGTTTCTCCTTGGCCTGGATCCAAATAAAACAGAAATTTCCTTTCTTTCTTTTTTTTTTGAAGTCTTACTTCATCACCCAGGCTGGAGTGCAGTGGTATGCAGGCTCACGGGTACCCCAGCGTCGACCTGCCGGGCTCCGGTGATCCTTCCGCTCCAGCCTTCCAAGTAACCAGAACTATAGGCGTGCACTACTACGCCCAGCTAATTTGTTATTTATTGTAGAGATGAGATCTCACCAAGTTGCCCGGGCTGATCTCGAGCCCTCAGGCTCAGGCAATCCACTCACCTTGGCCTTCTAAAGTGCTGGGATTAAAGGCTGAGCCACTGAGCCTGGCCGTTCACTCCTGCTCTTGAATCAAAAAAGCTAATGGGTAAATGTTTACATTTTCAGCCGGCTAGGTGGCTCAGCCTGTAATCCCGCGCTTTGGGAGGCTGAGGTGAGTGGATTGCCTGAGCCCG